ATAAGAACCTATTTTTTGGCTGCAAATACACCACAATCCGCCAAACACAATGTGAACCCCATCCAAACCCTTTAATTCGATTGTAGAACTCTCTTTTTCTAAAAAAAAAAAAAAAAAAAAAAAAAAAATTTGATGTTCATATGAACTCATTGTTTGTTGGGTTTACTAATACCCAGATTGAATTTCTGGAAAATTTTGATTCCACTTCCTTGAAATTGGCCACAAATAAATTATTTTATTATTAATAAATGCATGATTTACGTTGATTTATAGATTATGTTGTTGCTATTTTTTAACATTTAAATAGGAAAAAAATAAAAAGTATTATTCATGGCTTTTTTTTTTATCTTTGAATATTTTATCATTGAATATGTAATTTCTGCAAAATGTAAATGGCAGTTTATTTGATGTTAGATTCCTCTTAAAAACTAAATTATTTGAGTTTAAAAAAATGCATATAATGATTTTTTTTTTAAAAATCAGTTTTAATACAGAATTTTATTATTGGGGCCATTTTTACCTACCTGTCATTTGGGGCCATTTTTACTGGGGCCATTTTTTCCTGGGCCATTTTTTCAGGGGCCATTCTTACCTACATAAACGTATGTCCCCATACGAGATTCGAACCCAAAACATTCCGATTACCGTTCGGATACTCTACCAACTGAACTGAGCTATGAGGCCAAGTGGTATTAGGACACGTTCCGTTTTCTTTGGTACCGAGATACACCTCCACTGATAATTAAAGAAGATAACAATTAGTTGATAAAAACATGTGAACCCAGCAGGATTCAAACCTAAGAGGTTCCGATTGTTCGATCGGGCAAAGTGAGTGTATGTTAAGCCTATTAAAAGCAGTGACGTTACAGGAATACAGAAAGAGGTTCTATTGCTGATACATTCTTGCAGAATTCAACCTTTGTATATCTAAAAACGTTCTGCAGACGAAGATACCGCCTAATAATGATGATACAAAATCTTACTCATTTACAGTACATTCTTTGTCAACTACTAATGCATTATTTGGCAAACATCTCCAGTTTTCAAGAATGGTGAGGTGAAGAGATACAGATCCATAGGCGAATTCGAGAGAGGTAAGCCTCCACCTTATAATTGCGAATAATTGAAAAGAAAAATTGCCTAAAAAACAAATAAAAATATAAATCATACAATGTGCCTAAGAGCCCGGAGCTTCAGGATAAAAACTCAAATCCAAACCCAAATCGCAACAAATGTACTCCACACGAAAAATTAATCAATCAGTTAAATTTGTAAATTTAAATAACAATTATTTTTGATTTCTTTTTATTCTGTAAATTTGTGTATCAAAAGCACAAAATATATTAACACAATATTTTAAAACAATTGATTTGATATACAGTATGCAATCAGCATAATAATCTAATTCTATAGTTTCATTAATATACTTAATTAGACTACGAGACGCGTGTACTCCGAGATAAACATAGACCTCAATTTCTGAAATAAAGTTATTCCCTAACTTTACTAATTCATTTTGATTTGTTCCTCTAGCCGACAAGTTACATGTTTCAGGAATACTGATATATAAAATCGAAGTTATGATTATAATATTCCAATCAATTATTACTAATTACTAGAATAACTAAAATGACGTAAAATAGGCCTACAACAAAAATGTATTACTATTAACAACAATAACGTAACTTAAATACGTCATATTAGAGAAATTAATGTAAAAGATGGGGTTAAAAAATTGAAACGGGAAGCATAGATGTGGCATTAAAAAGAATTAGGCCTAGGCTACTTCACATGTAAGCCACATTTATAGGAACTTCCTGATGCTAGGGTTTAGTAATGCTCACCTGCCGTGTTAACCAATAAACGAGAAATCTGTCTATAAATTAATGTAAACGTGTGTTTCCCATAGGCATGCTTGTATTATTCATGGAGGAATAAGTGACATGGTTTTTGGAAAGTTCCCATCTATAAACTGGAACAACTCACTTGATACATTCATACACGTAGATAATGTTTCATAATTTGTTTAAATAATCTATTGTTATTTAAAAAAATACAGTATTTAATACCTTTTTTCTAGAATAAGATACTGTAGATTATCAATTTATTGCTTTATTGTTATTTATGGAGGAATTAATGACATGGTTTTTTAAAAGTTCCCATCTATAAACTGGAACAACTCACTTGATACATTCATACACGTAGATAATGTTTCATAATTTGTTTAAATAATCTATTGTTATTAAAAAAAATACTTTTTTCTAGAATAAGATAAATTATCAATTTATTGCTTTAAAAGAATTAAGTCCAAGTACAACCTTTGGACATTGTGGAGGGGATAAGTACTGAAGGACAATCGGGCTACGTAATTATATAATAATAGGAATGTCATAATAAATATAATAATAATTATTATATTTATTATGACGTTATAAAAAAAAACGTAAACGTATACTGTACATCTGCCCTAATTCATTTTCAAATGTACCTGTAAAGATGATGAGTTAATTTTGAACGGTTTAGAATGAGCAAACATTAACCCAGGTATCGACCATGATGAAAACTATTATGAGAGGTGGCGAGATGTTCGCAAGCAAAGTTTATGCAATCTGTTGGAAAATATTGTTGATGTGGATTTGAGGTCAGCTGGTATGTCTATT